GAGATAGCTGACTTAAACAAAACAAAGAAATAAAAAGAAGAAGAAGAAGAGGAATCAATGTTGCTCAATCTCCTTCAAGTCCTTTCTCTCTGAAATCTCTAACTCTGGTATCCGGTGCTCTCTTCTTTCCTCTGAATGTACTTGTCTCTATCGAATTGCCTTTGTGTTTCCAAGAGTTTTCTTTTTATAGTGATGAAACCATATCTTTTAATTTTTCATAATATCTTCAATGGAATCTTCACTAGAATCTCCAATCATATCTTTAATCCAATCTTTCAAATCTTCAATGGTTCAGAAATCCAAAGCCAATCCACTTGAGCTCTCCAATTTATCTCTTTATTAAGCTGAAAATTACTGCAAAATATAAGAATTTTTATGAGAATATTACTGAGAATAAAATAACACTTTAATTATAATTCTCATATCTTTTAATTATTTTAAATCAATTTCATGCTCATATTAAACCTTAATACATAATAAATTGGAGACACATCAGTTACTATTCATGACATCCTAGAAATTTCTACAATCCATGAAAACATGTGTTTGATAGTGAAAATTTACCACAATACACCTTAGAATACTTTTGGAGTGATTCTTCAAGTTCCAAACCACTCAAAACTCCTCAAATACCAAGAAATCTAAAAATTCCTCTACACTTTGGATGGAAGGATCTTTCGATCAAGGCTCCAAGGTGAGAAGTGAGTGATGGGTTTTGTCAAGGGTGAGATTCTAGGCAACTTTAGTTTTTACACCGCTTGATTTCATGGACAAACACCCCTTTTAGGTTTTTCTCGAGTTAAACAATGGCTTATCCTCTATTTTGACAATGCCCTACGATGGGGTGAGGAAGAGTGAAAGTGTGTTGTCTTTGGAGATATTAACTCACTCAAGTCACCAATTGACTCGGTTAATAGTCTAAACATAATAACTTTGTATGTTACCTTTTTTTCTTATTTCATCTAGCCAATAACTTGATATTTTGACTTAATCTCATAAATCTCAATAAATTAGCCTCTTACTAATTTATTTACAAGTTTCAGGTAAAATTTCCTGTTTGCAATTTTACCAATAAAACTTGTTGTAACTGCACTTTTATCTAAAAAATGACTTATTCTCATTATCTGATTGCTTTATGTAATTTCACTTTATCTGAAAGTTACTTACACTGAAAAATTAGATTATATATCTAATTTAACTCTTATAATTAGATTTCTAATCTAATTATTATCTAGTAAGTTATGAAAAATTCCTAATTACTCATTATACAGGTTTGGGTTATTATAGTCATCCTCCGTTGAAATATGGTTTCTTGGTCAAGGTCTATTTGACCATCTTGAAAAGTCAGCTTCCAATATGCCCACAACAGATAGTAATGGATATGTTTGATTATCAATTATATGCTTTGTTATGCCAATCTGTGGAACCTAATATCTTAATCAATCTCGAGGAGGTCGTGGAAGCAATCTTTATTGTACGTGTTGTAAAATACAAGCCCACACTGAAGAGACTTGTTACTATATTCATAGTTTTTCTGATAAAACTATTAATGTCAATCAGTCTTACCCAACACAAGAAGAAAAGAGATCTGATTCTCCATCCAGTAAACCATCTATTACTCTTTTAGAGTAAGAGTAAGAGTACCTCCAGTTGAAGGAAATAAAGCAAAATCAGTCTTCTAGTACCACTATCGCTCATACGGGTAATCCTACAATGTGTATTTCTCATACAAGTAATAATCAAGTTCCTAAATCCTTGATTTAGAGGCCTCCAACCATTTAGCTGGTAATTGGTCACTTTTCTCTTCTCTCTCTCCACCTAATGTTCCTCGTTTTATCACTTTCACCGATGGTTCTAAAGTTCCTACTCAAGGCATTGGTCATGTTTCACTCACTTCATCTATATTGTTAAAGTCAGTCTTATTTATACTTGAATGTCCCTTTAATTTGATTTCCTTGAGGCAGCTTACCAAATCTCTTAATTGTTCAGTAACTTTTAATTTTATTCTTTTATTATACAGGACCGTGGTATAGGACAGACAATTGGAGCAGGACATGAATCACTTTGACTTTATCATCTCAAGTCAAACCCTCATGTTGTGTGTGTGCTACTACTGAATCTCCTAGTCTTCTGCATCAGCATCTCGACATCATAGTTTATGAAAACTTCAACAAATAGTTTCATGTCTTGCAAGTTTGAAGTCTCTCAATTTTGAGTCGTGTCAACTTGGGAAGCATGTTCAGGCTTTCTTTACAAGTCAAGAGTCAAACAAAGTCTATTTTTACTATCATTCATTTTGATGTATGGGTCCAAGTCGTGTTCCTAAATCTCTGATTTTAAATATTTTGTTACTTGTATTGATGACTTTTCTTGATGTACCTGGTCGTTCTTAATGAAAGAAAGGTCTGAGGTGTTATCTATATTCCAATCCTCTTATACTAAAATTTAAAATTAATTTGGCAAGTCCGTTAAAATTTTACTTAGTGATAATGCCAAAGAATATTTTTCCGTTGAATTCTCATCATTTACATCTTCTTATGATATTTTACATCAATCATCATGTGCACATACACCCCAACAAAATATAGTGGCTAAAAGAAAAAATTGCCATCCTATTAAAATTGCTCGTACATTATTATCACAAGCTAAAATGCTTTTGTACTTTTAGGGTGATGCGGTAATGACTGATTGCTATTTGATTATTCGTATTCCTTCATCTGCACTCAATAATCAAGTTCCTCTTTGGTTGTTAGTTCCCAAATGTCCCTTATACCTTATTCATCCTCGAGTGTTTGAATGTACTTATTTTGTCCATGATTTTTCCCTATGTCGAGGCAAGTTATCTCCCCGTGCTATTAAATATATTTTCCTTGGTTATCCCATATTACAAAAACGATATTGTTGTTGTTCTCTTATCATTCGTCGATGGTATACCTCTGCCGATGCCACCTTTTTTGAAGACACACCCTATTTCACTTCTCCTACTAGCTAGCTTAAACATAATTTCTGAAGTTTTACATGTTCCATATTTTGGTTCCCTTTTGCCTCCCTTGCAAGTCCAACCCTCAGAATCTACACCTAATCAACCCAAGCAAGTCCAAATCCAACCTCTGCGACCTCTTAATCCTATAACAGAGGAGGCAACCATGAACTCTCATGAAACATGTCCTACTCTAAATGTTTCACCTACTACGGATCCATGTGACCTTAGTGAATCTGTTTATAATCTTCTTATTGCCATTTGAAAAAGTACTCGATCCACTCGCAACCCTTATCCTATTTATAACTTCTTAAATTTTCATTGTTTATCTCCATCATATTATGCTTTTGTTTCTTCCTTGTCCTTTGTTCAACTTCCTAACACTGTAGGTGAGGCCTTTTCACATTCTGGTTAGCAGCAAGCCTTGATTTATGAGATAAATGCCCTTGAGCATAATGGTACATGGGAGTTGGTTTCTCTCCCCAAGGAAAGGAAGTTGTTAGGTGTTGTTGAGTTTATACTCTCAAGATTTCCTAATGGTCATATAGATCGCCTCAAAGCTTGACTTGTTGCAAAAGGTTACACTCAGACTTCTCTCCAATAGCCAAAATGGTTTTTTTCCTTCTCTTTCTTGCCATGGCAGCCATTGGCATTGGCCACTGTATCAACTTGATATTAAGAATGTCTTCCTTCATGTTGACCTTGAAAAAGAGATTTATATGGAGCAACCACCTGGTTTGTTGCTCAGGAGTAGTTTGGATTTGTTTATAAGTTGAAATGATCTCTTTATGGGTTGAAATAGTCTCCCCGAGCTTGGTTTGGTAAGTTCATGCAGGAGTTTAGGCTAACACGGAGTGAAGTCGATCATTAAGTCCAAAGACTCAGTTGAAAGAGCATCTATTTAGACATTTTCATACCAAAGACTTGCGAAAGCTCAAATACTTCCTTGGTCTTGAAGTAGCTCCATCAAAGAATGGTGTTGTAGTTTCACAAAGAAAATATGCTTTGGATATATTGGAAGAAACTGATATGACAGACTGCAAACCTATAGACACTTCCATGGATCAAAACAGTAAACTATTACCAGATGAAGGAAAGTCATTCAGATCCCACCAAGTATCGGAGATTGGTTGGTAAGCTCAACTACCTTCCACTAACTAGACCAAACATCTCTTTTGCAGTTAGTGTAGTAAGTCAATTCATGCAATCTCCGTGTTTTGATCATTGGAATGTTATGGTACGAATCTTATGATATAATAAAAATGTTGCAAGTGAAGGATTAATACAAAGACAAGGGTAATACTCAAGTAGTGGGATACTCTGATGTTAAATGGGCTGGTTCTCCTATTGATAAAAAATCTGCTTCAATATATTGTGTTTTTATTAAAGGTAATCTTATCTCATGAAAAATCGAGAAGCAAAATGTGGTGGGTTGATGCAATGCAGAAGTCGAGTACACTTGAATTTTGAAAGGGAATTGCTTTTGTTATGTAACATAACCTAAAAGCAAATTTTCTACTCTCAGGAAAGGAGGAGAGAGGAAAGAGAATAGGAAAAATAGAAAAAATTTAAAGTGAGTCTCATATAAAATTTGTGTGTGTAGAAAGATGATTTTAAGTTATGTAACATAATAAAAACAATTCCCCTTTTGAAAACATTGATCTTATGAAACTATATTATAATAATCAAGTTCCTTTACACATTATATCGAACATACAGAGATTAACTATCACTTTATCATGGAGAAGGTTATTTCCAAATTTCATTGATGACAAACTTGGAACATATAATTTATATGCTTCAACTGGAGGGCAAATATTGAAAAATATTTTAATAATATCTTTTATTTTAGAAAATAAGTCCTATAGTTTTAAATATTATATATCTACAATTATTTAGTTAGATTCTATTCTTTTCCTTTTATTAAAGATTGTAAATCCTATATATAATGAATGATTATAAGATATTTTCTTCAAGCCATTTAAAAATTCTTTCAAAAAAAAATTCGACATTTCCGTTCTACAAAATTTCTTATTATTGTCTGTCCTACAAAACCTAAATAGAGGATTTAAATTATATAAATATATATCGAATACGTCACCTTATGGTAAGCCAAAATTCCATTAGATAGTATGACTACAGCAATTTAACACTAATGTGTTTGCTTGAACAGCTTGTGGAATCAAAACTCATGCTAGAGAACTTTTACGGTCAAACTCAAAGCTAAAAACCAAGAAACAAAGGCAACCAAAAGCAGCGTCAGTAAGAAGTGGATGTCCACCTTGCAAATCTACAACTCGTCCTTCTCATCAGTATCATCATTGACCGCATCGGCTTCAGGCTTAGCATCTTCTTTTGCATCAGTTTCAGCCTCAACTTCGATGTCATCTTCCTCTTCAACTGTTGCTTCAGGACTTATGTCTAAGCTAGACTTCACTGATTCATAAATACGGGAAGCAAAATCCTTAGGATCATTAAGCAGGAAGCCACTTTCGTAGAGTGCAGTCTGGTACATCAGCTGTGCTGTTTGCTTCACACTCTCATCCTGAAAAGTAAGCCCAATGGTGTTAACAAAAAAAACCCTAATTGGGTCATGGAAAGAGAAGCGTACAGAAAATTAACTAAGAGGAAAAATTCAAATCTGGAATGTACCTCAGGGTTGTTTACCACACTCTCCCGGAGCACCTTGATTATAGGGTGTCTAGGATTGATCTCAAGAACCCTCTTGCCACGCATGTAGGCTTGCTTGCTAGCATCTGACAAAGTCTGAGACTGCATGATTCTCTCCATGTTAGCACTCCAACCATATTTCGATGTCACCACTACACAAGGAGTGTTATCCAATCGGTTGGATATCTTCACATCATCAACATTCTCACTGGAAAGGGCATTTTTCCACCACTTAGTAAGATCCTTGAAGGATTCCTTCAGTTCCTTGTCTTTAGAGTCCTTCCCAAGTTTCAGACCCTCCTTGGACACATTTTGGAACTTTTTATCTTCATAATCCATCAGGTATTGCATCAAGTATTCATCAACTGGATCTGTGAAGAAAATAACCTGTAACCAATTGAAATAAAATACACTTAGAAGACATCATATCCTCATTCCTCCTGTGCAGAATAGAAAGACAAAAGCTTTCTGAATATGAAGACTCTAGTAACAAACAAATACAATTGCTGGAACCAACAAACTTTGCATAAAAGATCAAATGGATTTTAATTGCACCTCAAAGTTTTTCTTCTTAAGCCTCTCAAGGAATGGAGATTTTTCCAGTTGTTCTTTGCTAGTTCCAGTTATGTAGAAGATATCCTTCTGTCCAGCTTTCATTCTAGATATGTACTGATCGAGAGAAGTCAATTTACCCTCAGACTTGGTGCTGCAAGAGTTCCAAGTATCAGCTAGATTGTTGACTAATGAAAGTAAGCAAATAGCATTATCACAAGATTTTGATTTCAAAGAAAGAAGTAAATCACCTCTCAAATCTGAGCAGTTTTGCCAAACGATTTCTGTTGGTGGCATCCTCAATGATACCAAGTTTAATGGACTTCCCAAACTCATTCCAGAACTTAGCATATTGACCTCTCTTCTCATCATTATCGGAGGACGTCTCTTCTGCATCAAGATTTAACAATGGCGGAAGTGCCAAGTCAATGAACAGAATTCAGGAAACCTCTGGCTTACATTTGAAAAGAGGAGACAGAGGCAACTCACCCAAAAACAAAACAATACTTTTGTATGACTCACAGCAAGCCTAATATTTTAGGAATGATGTACGAGTGTTTTGGTCAACCTAAGCAAGCCATAAAAGAACAGGGATGGCAAACGGAACCGATAGTTAATTCACCATACCTTTCTTTTCTTTGTCAGTGGACTCATCAGGATCCTCTTCAGCAATCCTGCGGATCATGTCAAGGGCTTTCCTAATAAGTTTCTTCTTGATTGTCTTTAGACTACTGTGTTGTTGAAGCATTTCTCGTGATACATTAAGTGGCAATGTATCAGAATCAACAAGGCCCTGTTCCCATCAAAAAGAACATTTATTAAGGAAAATTATTCTGACCCTCATAAAATAAACTCATCGGCAATAAAAAAGCTGTCGTTACCATCAAAAAGTTCAAATACTTGGGCAACAGTTCATCAAATTCATCTGAAATGAACACTCGTCTAACATACAACTTCAGGTTGGATTTGTTTGCATTATAGTAACTCTCATATAAATCATGAGGAGCCTTAGGTGGCACAAACAGGACTGCCTTGAACTCAACATCACCTTCAGCAGTAAAGTGACTCCATGCTAAAGGATTTTCATCACTAAAATCCTGCACAAAACATCAAGGCAGAACTCTATGAATATTACCAAACTTCAGAGTGGAGTGAATTAGACTACAATTTTCTTGAAGTATCAGACATAAATAATGAAGATGGCCGTTATTACCTTGGCAAGAGAGTGGTAGAATTTGGTGTACTCTTCATCTGTAACCTCCTTTGGATTCCTCAGCCATATAGCTTTCACATCATTTAAAAGTTCCCATTCATAAGTTGTTTCCTTCACCGTCTTTGTCTTTGGCTTTTTTTCTTCATCTTCACTTTTATCAGCATCATCATCTTCACTGTCTTCCTTAGAGGAGCTGCTTTCAGCTGTTTCAGGAGTAAAATATGGTAAGAAAGACAACATAATATGGTGCTATGCAAGATGGACAAACACCAAAACAGTATTCTTGAAACACAGGATATAAATGGAAAGATCACCCAACTGGGTTCTTATATTATACATACTTGAATCCTCTTCATCACCAGACTCATCTTCTTCAGCAGGAACCTCCACATCAACCTCTTTGCTTGCCCAAAGATAAATTGGGAAGTTAATAAATTCAGAGTATCTCTTGACCAATTCCTGGGAAAAAGAATAGTTATTAAATCAGATTTAACAACTAACTAAATGAAACACCACAGGAATCACCCTTGGAAGAAGGTCATAATCAATAATTGGAAAATAAGGAGACAAAAAATTGAATATATAAAAGAAAAGTACCAACAGAGATAACCAATAATAGATAAAGCATAACAACTTGACGAGCAACCTTTTGAAACTTCGGATGATACAGAATAGGTTAAAGAATAGAAGAAGTCGAGCTTTTTCTTTTTCGTTTTTCAAAACCATCAGAAGCATATTTAGAGTTGTGCTAGCAAATCATAAACCAATATAAACATTTACCTTGAGCTGTGAAATAATTAATTTAACCAATGAGAATTCAACCTTCTTACAGGTGCAACACTCCATAGAAACCCAACCCCCTACTTAATATTGTATATTTTCTAAGTGAAAATCAATAGCATGTGCAATCACTTAAGAAACACGGGTCAGAAGAACGACATGAAGTTACAAAAACCTATAAAATAAAACAAATTTCGCCCATGGAGAACACCTACACTATGAAGCATGTGCAAAGCACATGAGTAGTATCACCTGCTGTAGATGCATAGTACATATTGTTGCCATCTAGATTGAAGTAAAAGACCCCTCGGTGTAAACTTATGTGCAATAAACAAAAGACGTGAATTTTTAAACTCAAATAACTTATAATAATTAAGGTAATAGCTTGCTGCATACTTTCAGCTTAGACTCCTCCAAGTACTCCCCAGCCTCATCTTTGAGGTGTAATCTAATCTCAGTTCCACGTCCTAGTGGTTCATTCCATGTATCTTCCGAAACAGCAAATGCTCCATCAGCTTTTGATTCCCAAACATGCCTGAAAGCCAAATGATTTTCAAATCAGTATGCTAGGATAGATGGCTAGAAAACATCTGGGACAAAATACTGATCAGAAAAGCAATATCAATTCTAAAAAACTTACTGCTTATCATCACTATGCTTGCTAATGACTTCAACATAGTCAGCCACAAGATACACAGAGTAGAAACCAACTCCAAACTGCCCAATCAGATTGAGATCGCCACTTGTCTGCATTTTCTCAACGAACGCTGAAATTTATACTCAGCTCCAATTAACATCTGTCACACCTTATTACAAGTGGAAATTAATTCAGCAAAGACCACAAAATATATACCTGAAGTTCCTGATTTTGCTATGGTCCCCAAATTCTTTATTAAATCCTCTTTTGTCATACCAATACCTCTGTCTCGAATTGAGAGAATTTTCTTTTCCTTGTCTAACTTAATCTGCAGTAGTAACATAGTTTAGGTAAAACAACCCACGAATACAACAATAAAAATACCAGCATTGCTTAGACTATCATCACGAAAATTATAGCAAAAAATAAATAAATAAATAAAAAATCCATAGAATAATTAAAATAGATGCTTAGCAGTACCGACCTGAATTTCAAGCTTGGCGTTATCACCTTCACCCAAAATCTCCTTATCCGTGAGGGAGAGGAACCTAATCTTGTCCAATGCCTAGAATATGGGAGTCACTTGTCATTAAACTTTAAATGCTAGGGTTTTCCAAATGAAAAAAAAGCACATAAGAAAAAAAAAAGCTTACGTCAGAAGCATTAGAGATTAACTCCCTGAGGAAGATATCTTTGTTACTGTAGAGAGAATTGATGATAATATCCATAAGCCGTGACACTTCCGCTTGAAACTCAAACTTCTCCGCGTTGCTCCGAAGCGATCTCTTCGAGATCGACTCCGCCTCTCTTCAATTGTCACATAAACACAAGTTTAGATACCAAATCAAAGGAAAGAGATCAAATAATGCATAGTTACAAAGATACCTCTTGACCACATCTGAATCGGTGGAAAGACCATTAGGAACAGCACCAATCCTGTCCTCCACCTTAGGTGGATCTACAAGCTCTTCGGAATCACCCTCCGCATTCGCCTGAAATTTTCGACCTACCAAACCAATTGTATATGAGCTTTAACTATAGCTTGCTAGCTCCAAAAGAAGTAACTCGTAGAGATAGAAAGAGAAAATAGTGAAATCGCATACCTTGATCCGCGAAGAGAAAGAGAAGAGTGAGTAGAAGGAGAACGGAAGGTACAGTCCACTTCCTCATCGCAGTGTGTGGATTTTCTAGTAGCTTCCACTACTGATATGTTGTTACCCGTTTAACTTGGTTAGATAGGCAACAGCGGTTCTTCGATTTATATATCAGTGATTCGTCGTGACCGTGATTGTTACGGGGACTTCCCTTGCTTGGAGGACGCGTGGGGTTGTGATTAACTCCGTTTTGCCACCGTGGATGATCCAACGGCTTGAGATCTAGTTTGTGAAACGTGGCTTCGTTTTATTGGTTTGTTGTGTTACCTTCGACGTGGAGAGGGCGAGGGTTGTAGACTGCCCCACTGGAGGACTTCAAAACACAAGTCTACCATTAGCACTTGCAAATTGCAACGCCACTTCTGCTACGTGGGAGTTCTTTATTGGTTCTGTATTTTCTTATTTACGTGGAAAAATCGAATCACTTGACTACTTGAGTAGTCAACAAGTTTTAAGTCTTTTACACGATAAGAGTTTCCATCGACGACGTAAGCAAGAACTATTTGTTGTATATTATTAAGGGTGTGTTTAGTACAAAAGAAATTTTTTGGTGACCGAGAATCATTATTAATGGGAATACAGTAGAAATTGAGTTTACTTGGAATCTTACGAAAGAGGTGTTTGGTTTGCTAAAATATTACTGGGAATATTGGGTAAAAATTACTGATTCCATATTTGGTTTAGAACGAAATATGAATTGGAATATGAGGTTATTTTACAAAAATAACCCCAAACTATTTTTACTTTTGTAATTGATAGATTGGGTCTAGATTTTTATGTGTATTGGGGTATTTTTGTCTCAAAATTTATTGTTGTGCTTTTCCTTTACTTGGTATTCTGATTGGTATTCCGAATTACCATATTATTCTTGGTAATCTGAATAGTGACTTTTCTTTATAAATCAAATTACCGGTAATCCTTGGATATCCGGGAATCGTAATCTATTCCTTCTACCAAACGTGGTAATTACATTTACCAAAGAAGGATTACCGGTAATCCTCTTCAAAAACTTGAAACAAACACCCCCTAAGGGTTTTATTAGTTTTCTTTCACATAATATAGTCTTATGTTGTAAAGAGAAAATAGGTGAATCTCACCATTACAAAAAATAAGAAGAAAAAAAAAGTGGGGTACAAAAATCGAAGTGAGAGAACATATGAGAAGATATCTTATGTGAAAGGAGAGTAATATTTTTCTATTATTAAAGGATTCAATTTTTTTCTAGTATACGAGGTATATGTGATTTTTTTTCTCTTTTCTCTTCATATGGGCTTCACATTTTTTAATGCATGCAGAATGTAATTTTATCTTCTACAACATGAAAATATTAAACTATTATTAAATAATTTTTTATTAAATAAATTTTTTTATGAGATAGATTGTACTTATAACTTATTTTTGTTTACATTCACTTTCTTATCCTTCGATCAAAATTAAATTAACAATTTTTACTTTATGTTATTTTGTAATCGTTGATTTGATTTTGATCCAAGGATAAAAAAAGATTGTAAGAGGTTATAAACAAAAATATATTGTAAATATAATATCTCTCTTTCTTTATTTGGATTTCATGAGCTTAATTATCCCTTTGGGACGAGTCAAGTCTCCCAATATCTCCATAACCCAAGTAGGAAAGGGGACTCGCACAAGTATGAGATTAATCTCAAATTGAACGGCTTGATAATTTACTTACCGCATATGATCTCATAATCTTAATTTATTTGTCTCATTGTTTCTCTACCTCAGATCTAAATATCTTAAAGGCATCTAACACTCTATACTTATTTTGAAGCATGTAAAGATACATATATCATGAGTAATCATCCATAAAGGGTATGAAGTGTTTCAAACCATATGCGTCCATATCATGACAACAAATATATGTATGTATAATCTCTAATAGTTCAGTACTCCTCTTGACACGTTTCTTTGACTTATTGGTCTGTTTTCCCTTTATGAAGTCCACACAAGTCTCAAAATTAGTAAGATCTAGAGCATTAAGTACTTCATCGTCCACTAGTCTTTTAATTCTCTAAATGGAGATGTGTCCTAATCTCAGTGCCACAACATATATGAATCCTTATTTAGAACACATTGTTTAATGATGTGTCATCATAAATATGCATCGCATTATGTATGGCATTATCTCGCAAATTGTAACACCCTATGTGCACCCGGTATATTAACATACAAAATGGTATAAGCGCAACTCAATAAATGCAGAAGCTAAAATTTTAAACTATGAAATCACATCAGCTTAACCAAGTGAGATTACTTTTTTCTTAATCTTTTTCAAAAATAGTCTGTATGTAAATTGCAATAAATAAATAATCATTTCATAAATATGGTATCAAGTCATGGAACTACAGCAGGTAGACCAGACAATATCTTGATACAACTTATACAACTCAAGTATGTAATAAACACAAATTATTCAAATGTGGCATGGACAACCCTCATGTTCACCAAATAAAGCAACATAGTCATATCCTGTCTCAGATATAATAGCTATTTATAAATAACAAGGTAAAATCATATCTAAATACAGTAACAAAGTAGCATACATAATATCAGCTCAACTCCGGCTTCCTGCCACCAAAGGTCTCAGTCTCAGGAACACATGTACCTGAAAATGTACCCCACACGGGGTGAGATCTCTAACAAAAATCTCAGTAAGACAAGGAGTTCTTGTTGGGTGCTAATGCTCTTAAGGACGTTCTCTTTACTTAGTTCATCAAGAGAAAACGCATTCGTTCTCTAGATATTAACCCAGTCGCGCAAGTGCACGCATCAAGTAATAAGTGGGATTATTAGAGTCCAATTTATCGTTCCCACGAGGATAATAACTCTAAATAATACCTTGAACTATTTTGAAAAGAATATAAAATATAAGAAAAGACAGTATTGAACTGTTTGGTCTTTCATTCCCTAATACCTTTGGGACGTTCCCTCAAGGTGGTATGTTCAGATTGACTCTAAATAACTCCTCGCGTCGTTATGTATTAAATTCTTCCTGATTTCAGGAGGAACGACAAAATCATTGGAGATTTAGTTATAATGTCACAAGATATTAAATGTTGAAAACTTAAAGACAACAATATTTAAGAGACAACAAGATGGATGATTAACAAGAACATTTTTTGACATAAGGAACGGATCCACTGTTACATTCATAAATAGTTATGCTCTCAACTCAAGACTTAACGCTTCTGAATTTGTTCAGGTCTCGTCACTGCTAACTTTGATTCCTCAGCCCATAGACTAAATGGCTCACAAGTTTCCATATTCCTATGGCTCCCTTGACTCCAATAGTTACTAAGTTCAAAACTTTCAGAGAACGAGGTGGTCCCTTATTCTTAAGGCAACCAGTAGAATTGTTTTCGCAATCCTACCTTCCTCCTATGATCAAGCTGTCTGAAATCCCTTCCTTAAGGAAGTTCCATCCTCAATTTGAGTTCAATCTCCATTAACACCCAAAAAGTTAAAATTACTTAAATCACAGAAATACAAAAGCTTCAGTGCAAAGTTTTGAGCATAGTTCTTTAAGAATTTCACAGTTTTTTCATTCCAAACTACCTTAGCCCATGGCTGAAAATATAAACATAATTATTTCAATCTGAAATCCCATGAGATTCAGTTTGAAGATAAGGAATGGAAGAAAAGAGAAATAACAAACATATATTAACAGGAAACAATTTTATATTACAAAGAGATAAGATGGAGAAGTATGGAGAATGCTCGTGAGGAGTCTCAAATGGTGAGAGGGAATGGGGGAAAGAGTTGTTGTCACTTAACTATTGCTAAAACTATACAAGCAAAATATAGAAACTTAAACTACACTAGACGATCTCTTCTTAAGGAATTCGATGCTTTCTTCATGTTGAATTCTTCTATTTATAGAGTGAAAGAATGGATGGCAATCTTGTGATTCTTCTTTAGCTGTTCCTTGATTGTATGGAGAGGCGGTGAACTTAGTGCTCTGACAAGTAAAGTAAGTTGGTTGATGGGATGGGTTAGGGTTGATAATTGCCTTTTTTATTCTGAGATTCCCATGCTTGCTTTTTCTCTAAACCAATGAGCATTCTTCGTTCTTTGATGTATACGTTTCTTCTTGCTTGATTTTTGTACTCCTTTCTGCTTTTAGAAGCTTCTTTTCAACATTTCCTGCAAATGAGTCAAAGAAGAGGTTAGTGGAGCAAGTGTACAAATAAGTCAAACTGTTCCTCTTTCTTTGTATTATCAACTGACCAGAGAACAGGATAGGGTTTATGCACGTCTGGGACCTATCTAAACATAATGGGCGTAGCCTTATGCCTTACACACCAGGGTCGAAGCATGATCGTGCAAGTAATCAATATCGCATCCATAAATTACATCAACAAGCATATCCACATATCTCAAGCATAGAACAATGCATATATCATTTTCATAAAAGCATACCATGCACATAAACCATCCTCCCATGGAGGTTGGTGGAACAAACAGTGGATAAATCCGAGAACCAAAAGCTTACCTGTCAAGCTAAACCATCCCTCAACGACTCGGTATCCAAAGAGTCACAAGTGATAATAGTGTCCAGTAAGGTTACAGATTTGTTTTCATAACATTCATACTATCAATAAACATATCCTAGCTGTTTAGATTAAAAGGAACATAATTTTTTTTTCATTTCGCTTACTGCAGGCTCTTTCCAAAGCCTCAAGCACTAAACTGTGTTCACCATTTTTAAAACTGTAATTGCATCTCTTTACCAAAAGTTCTAATATTTTACTATATTAAATTAGACATCCTAATCTTTCCAACGACATATTTTATGTCTCAATTAGAGTTGTATAACTCCGATTATATTTTTTGCAAAGTTACTGCTGCAAACTGAACTTACATAGCAAGGTAGCAGCTTCAAATTCAAACTGCGATCAATCCACTTATTCAATGGATATTAAATTTTACGGGGTTGTATCTTTTTATGTTAGCTTTATTAGGTTTAAACCTCACTCAATTCAAAGCTCTGCAGCCCGAGATATCGCAATTTTACCAAACTAGTGTGTTGCTATCACAATTACACTAGGTA